TATATATATATATATATTGGTAGCTTCTAAAACCTGCTAATAAGACGAAAATACAATTTTGCCCTTTCGGCAATTCCACCATTAAAATGTATCATGTAAAAGGTCTTCACTGAAATTCACTCCTGTCCTGTGACTCTTTGGCACTCATGACAGTTTGGCGTGGCTGTTATTTGTCGGAATCATACAATACACTACCACAACTCTGGTGCGATTCCCGTCCGGAAAGCTGATGATGTCAGTACAGCCAAGATGAGCATACCTCTTCGGCAGCAAGACTAAGTGAAGACAAATCTTTCTTGTGCTATATCTTGGCAACTACTTTTTTTTACACCATGTTCTTTTATTCACTCGATTCTTTTCTAGTTCAGCCACCATTTTTCTTATCTCACCATCTACTCTCTTTCTTGATCATTCTGCATCCCTTTTGTCCGTTTCACCCGCTAACCTCCCACAGTACCCGCTTCCGAATCCCGGCCTGGTGACTCGCCGATTGCTGTGGCTGATCGCGTGCGCCGACTCAATGCTTTCCTGGGCAGACTGGATCAGCTCACCTGCCTCAGTGATGCTTGGAACGGAGTTTCGGACTCTTCTGAAAGCGAAAATCGGGCCTTCTTCACTGGCGAGGACGGAGAAGGCCAAGATGTAGAGAAGACTAACAGCGAAATCGACTCAAGCGAGGCAGATAGTGAAGCTGAAGGTGACAAAAAGAAGGTTGTCATGAGGCTGAATAGGAAAATGAGAAACACTGGTGCCGATTTACGGACTCGAACCTGGGACTGGCCGTGGGCACGGGAAGCGGACACCGGTCCCCGACGGTGTAGCTCGTTACCTTCGGCGCAGATTTCTGCCCAAAGACCCCACCGCCGGTGTCATTGGCTTTCTGGCGTCTCGCAGTTGCGGTTTCCCAGCCTCCTGAAGATACAGGCGGCTGGTGAAGTGGTCTGCTTTGCCGCTGGCCTTAATCCACAACAGCCGGCGTCCTGGGTTACGACAGCGGATGGAGGCCTTTCGAGGGCAACCCAAAATGGCAATGTTGGTGCCGGAACAGTTGGTCGGGGCTCGAGTCGCAGGCAGGAGCGAACGAGTCCTGCATGTCCCAGTGAGGGCTTCATCAATCAGGTTGTCCTGGCTAGTGGATGTTCGGTTAGTCGTCATTCTTCATCAGACACACAACCTCATTCAGTCATCCTATTCGGTTTTTATTAACGAAAAAATTAAACCCATTTGTGGCAATATAATTAGTTTTATTTGCTTATAGATCGATCGGGTTCTTAGCCTTAATTGTCTAGACTTTATCTCGCGCATTCGTGAGCAAACATCTATAAGGATTCAGATTTGCTATTAACTGTCAGTTACATGCATTTAATCAATTCAAGTACACTACCCTCAGGCTAGAAAAGTTTAAGAATATTTTGCGAGCTTTACTCTTCCCCCACATTCTCGCCTTCTCAAAGCCATACAGAATTACCAAAAGAATTTTTATTTATTATTGACACTACGACAGATTGAAGAGACAGAGAGTCTAAGTCCCACAGGAATTCCTTCCTGAACATAAATTCAAAGTGCTTTGTTAGACAAACAGAAAGAAGAAACTTTTTTCACACACTTTCAGCATGTGAAAGGGCCAATGGCTTTGCTTAAATCCGATACTACTCCCTACTCTTATATCAGCTACATACCCAAAGATGAGGTGCATGGAACAAGTTGGGTGGGATATAACAGATTAATTCGGTGTTAGTTTGCATCGTTACTGCTATCTCTAGCATATTCTGAATAGACCAGTGGTGTGTGCCTCCCTCTGCATCGGGATTAATCTATGCCGCAGTCTGCAAGATGTTATTATTCAAGACCTTGCGATAGTTTACAATTCTATTCATTCAGAATCTAGTGAATTGTTTAATTTCACTGGCAGACACAAATTTGTTTTATTACTACTGCTCGCAATTTAAAAGGGTGAATTGTCATGGTTACTCTGTGACCAACTAGCACTCGTGGCTGTTTGTCGTTTGACCTGTATCATCCGGCTTCGAATCCAGTCAGCGTTGCTAAGATGAAAGATGGAGCGAGGTCCAAATTGCTGTCTAACCGAGCGCCATGAGGCCTTCTATTTATTTTATCGTAGGAGCTTGAACTAGGTCAATTTAGGCGACTTTAGATGGCCTTGATCTACTAATAGTTTTTAAGTCAATCAAAATGTGGCATTCTTATTGAATGTTATAAGACACTATTCAGAATTAATGGGAATATTTAATAGGCTTTTTAACAAATTAATGTAGTCAGTTATGGGCTCTTGGACTTCCTTGTCTCATGAGCAGCTTTCTTTTTTAGAAAATATAACTGCAAATTAAGTTCCTTTAGAAGCAACTTCGTCTTTGAATTAATTCAATTATAATGCTTATTTATATGTGAAAAACGGGTTGATATTTGGCTGATACTTTGACCAATTGTCGGTTTAATAGTCGTGGTATCTCTCCTTCCCCCCGGGGCTAATCACCAATCCTATCTCCTCGTATCACCCTTTACTATCACAATTTTGTAATTATTTATTTAAATGCGATATTGTGTGCCCTTTTTAGCGACTTTCATGAAAACTCGCCACACCTTACATTGACTTTCTCACTTGCCTCATCCCCCTTCACCCTTGTGATTGGAATGTTGACCAGAGTCTACCATATTGTTACGCAGTCATCGGTCTTTCCAGAAGCCTCTGAGTAATTCTCGTGGTCAAGCCTCGTTTATGGTAGGAACAAACCTACTGTCAGCCAACTAGCTCCAGTCTCCGACGCGTCTATCCTGTTTCTATCCATAATACCAAGTCTATGATTTGCTATGCCCTAGTCTCTGGTGTGCCAACCCACAAATGCTGTGGCTCAACATTGAAGCTATTCAAAACAAGCAGTAGCACAACATTTGTGGGTTGGCACACAAGAGACTAGGACTTGGGATTTCATAGACTTGGTACTAGGATGACGATTACATTAGGTCTTTTTTGCATAGACATGTTCCATGAAAGAAAAGCCTTGATTATGAGAATTACTCGAGATCTTTAGCCTCAATTTAGTCTCCCAATTACAGAATGTCGCAAATAACGCCTCGAGTAGCACAGATGGGGTGGCAGGGGTCGAGTGAAATACTTGAAAAAAGAAGAGAGCTACGGGGCAAGAGGAAGACTCTGATAAGACCTATGAAAGGATCTATGACGGCGTAACAATATGGAAGACTCCGATTAACATTCCCATCACAAGAGTGAAGAGGAGTGAGGTCTGTGAGAAAGCCAATATGAGGTGTGGCGAGTTCTCATGAAAGCCGCTCAAGAGGGCACACAATACCACATTTAAATAAGCAATTACGAAATCGTGAAAACGAGGTCATACGAAGATATAGGATTGGTGATTAGCCCAGGGATACCAAAGTTGTTTAGCAGACAATTGGCCAAAGGATCAGCTCTATTTGCTCTTTGACGAGTTGAAGTGTGGTGCTAAGAATGGCCAGACGCATTGACGATGCCGACTGCATTGTCTGCGAAACGTCTGGTAATGTACTACCTCCACATCCACCAGTTTCAAACTTCTCTAAGCATTTTAAGGATAATCGAATTATATTTCTATATTTACCCTAAGAATGTAATTATGGACATTTGGCTTCTATTACCTGACTACATTAAATAAACTTGAAAAGTTTCGTCGTTAACCTTCCAGAAAAAAATGATTTCCCTATTCTCGCATTATGTGGGATGAAAGTTTGCCATTGAGGCACTCATATGTTCTTTTGTAACGAAAGCCATATAATACTTTGGGCCTATAGTACACCATTGGCTTCAATTTTGATGATATATGTCAATGTTTTTATTGTCTTTCTCAGACTCAAATATTATTTATGCTTTGTCTGTATCTACCTTAGACCCACGGATGTATCGTTATTTCTGGTTATCTGAACCTTAAACTATTGTAAATGTTATCATTATCTTTAATTAGTCGTTTTGATAGCATTTAAACTATTCTATTGTCCTCTCACGATACGGAGCAAGAGCTAAAACTCAAGCACACATTTAGATCTCAACAAGAATGACATTTATTATAGTCCAGATGCAACGGCTCATTCTGCTATCATTCTGAGGGAGAACTTACAATATTGACTAGACCGAAGGTTTGAGAAAAGTTGAATAGAATTTCACATCTTCAATACTT